AGCGGATGACCATGTGCCCAAATCTAATCCACTCCACGGGACCAAAGCCACACTTTTAAGAGAGACCGTCAGATGCCTTAAAGCTCTTTTTTTCCTTTTTTTTTTTTTAGTATTGTTGGATAAAGCAACAATCAAAAATGTGGACGTGAACTTTTTTTTCATCTAATAAACAGACCAACAACGTATAAAAGATATAAAAGAGCCCTATGTAGAGAATAGCCAAAAACAGTAAACAGTCAATCTAATTTTACTCAATAGCACGAGTCGTAAGAGGATCACAGCATCACAGAAAACTAAGAAAGTCATTTTCTGACCAACTACTAATATCTAAGCACTAATAAACATCAACATTATAGTCGTCCCAAAAAGTTAAGACCGGACACCGGAGACAGGAAATTAAATGAGATGCAGACTATACATTCAGCAGGCAATTGGAGCTGGAGACGGACATTGTGCAGTTTCCCTTTGCCCCGTTTGTTCAACCTTGCGATTTTCCATCACCGCCACTCGCGCATCTTCTACCTGCAACTTTAGCTTGCCATCACACACTTCTACTTCTTTAGTTTCTGCTTCAGGAGGCGCCACACCGTTGGGCAGCTCTTGCTCTACTCCATTGTTTGCTGCAGCAGCAGCAGCAGCTGTTCCTGCCTTGTCTTTTCCTGCAGCATCAGCACCATCATCTTTTCCAATCTCAGTCTCTGGTTTCTCTACCTCTTTAGAGTCCAGCTTCTCTTCCCCTTTTTCAACTGCAATGGGAGCATTCTTATCATCAGTCTCATTCTGCACTCCAACATCTTTTACGCCGTTTTCAACAGTACCATTCTCTTTCACTGTGGAGTCCGGCTCCTTTCTATCTTCAGCATCTGCTTTACCTTCGCCCTCAACTAAAGTTGCCCTGATGATATCATTTCCCCCCTCTGGTTCCTCGCTCTTCTTCTCAGTTGCCCCAGCATCTAGCATATCCTCATGTCCCTTATTCTCAGTTTCCTGTTTGGCAGCATCAGTCTCTTTGTCATCCTTCTTTGCTCCTAGTGATTTACGAGCTCTTTTTTTTGGCGGCTCTTTCTCGGTGGATGGAGGTGTAGCCTTTAACTTCTCACTGATTCTTGCTGATCTTCTAGGAGTTTCGCCCGTGCTCCAATCAAATTCCGAAATTGATGGGTTTCCAGGATGGGACTTCAGGTACTGCTCCAACTGTTTCCGACCACTAATTTCCTCTCCTGTAGGAGCCACAAACACTATTTCATTCTTCCTTGGAGTTCCTCCTTTTTTTGGAATAAACTGCAAACCAACAGATGAAGACCATTCTATAATTAACCGGAAGGGAATCAAGGTCAACGAGTTTCCAGATTTACAAGGATATTCAATTTTGGCATCAATATGCACAGTGCAACTACAATTCACTGCTAAACTTGCCTGCAATTAGACTGGATTCCCTAAGTCAAGATGGACCTACTTCTGAACAAACTTACAAACAAGTTATATCTCTCTGCAAGGATGTTCTGCAGAAGTAGTATAAAGATTTATAAGAGCAGATGACAACTTGCACTTATTCCATCACAGCCAGTGTCATCTAAAGATCAGCAATTAGGAAGTTGCTGCTAAACCGCAGGGCTTCTGGCTACATAGTAGATTGATACAAGAATCCTCAGGGCGGTACAAGACCTAGAGAAACATGTAACGTGCAACAGTAATTGGCTGGGTTAGAGGAAAACGCTGCTTTTTCAATAGGCTCTTCTAGACAAACAAATAAATGACTGGATCACAAAGCTTTCAAGGAACTCGGCTTCACAAATGATGTATAGTTATATACTAGCAAGTGACACCACGACTTGCAGCAATATACGCAAAAGAAACCCAAAATTGAAGAGTACCATGTCGTAGTTTTGGCCGTTCAAAAAGCAGTCTGTAAACCTAATTGAAACTGAAGAAAACATACATCAGACACCCTACACCTGTGAAATGCTGGATTAATGACTGAATCTCAACAACACGCATGCAACACCCAAAAGAGTTTGTACCAATTTGACTCACCATCTCATCTTCCTTGTAAACAAATACATAGAAAGATAAAGAAGCCTCAAGAAATATTTTTCCTAAATTTGCTTTCTACCAGATAACATATGTAAACTAATCACCAGAGCACATAAATCCCCATTTCCCTTAAAAAAAAAAAAAAGACAAAGAAGAAAATATAACAACAAAAAGTGCATATTACGAGCACGGCTTCTAAAACAGATGCAATAAGAGTTTTTTTTTTTGGGTTAAAAAAAGAGTCTTTTGGGGACGAATATACAGAAAAATATTAAATACCAGATATATTTCTCAGCCCACTCTAAGAGATGATTTTTACCCAAGGGAGAGCAGGCGAAAAAAAAAAAGAGGGAAATAGATATATAAATGATTTTGAAAATTAGCGTCTGAACACTTATTTTTTTGCACTTACAACAACCTAGGAAATGTGTCGTACAAAACAAACTACCAAAAGCTTTATCCACCCAACAAAAGTTTGACCCTCTATTATTCTACTAAATCATTTAACACAAGAACACAGGAATTCACCCCACACACAGAACAAGCACTAAATCAGCAGAAAAAGCTAAAATATGAGCTTAGCCCACTGGGAAAAAAAGAGCAAAACAAAAAGAGTATCTTGGTGTTTAAAAAAACTTATTAGTAAAAAAAAAAAAAAAAAAAAAGGTGGGTACCAATTTCTTCCAAGAAGCAGGGGCAGGCAGCTCCACTGACACAACTTCCTCCTTGTTGACAGCAATACTTGCCATGTCTTGATTCTTCTACCTGCAAATTCCAAATAAACCGCTTCAGCAGCAAAACCAACATACAAAAGTTCCAACTAAAATTCCCGACAAACCTTGGAACTTAAAACTAACCAAACATTTCCCACCTGAACTAGAAAGTACACGGGAAATCCTAAGACTTCCGTTAGTACCATATCCATACCTGAGGCCTGGGGGTGCTAGAGAGCAACTATAAAAACTGCTGAGAAAAAAGAAAAAAAATCTCCTCCCGTCGTTTTGTCTCCGTTCTCCTCTGATTTTATCAAATTTATGGTAGCAGTAGTCTTGACTCTTAAAGTCCTAAATATGAGGAAAGCAGCCAGGAAAGAAATGTGATAAACCGACCTTGAAAGGTACAAAAGATTTTTTATTATTCATTGGAAGACCTGGATTTTTTATTTACGTGACACGTGTCAGCTTTTATGTCGGAAGATGATGATTTGTCCCCCACGAAAGGTCTGTTCTCATATGTATGGAGTATAATATATTCGCTTGGCCTCGGTTAAGCTAGCAAAATGGAAGGTCCCCGATTTTGCTAACGTGTCCGTGACAGAGGAGTTGTTTTGGGATTTCGCGATCGTCCTTCGCTGTTACCTTATCTTCTCTCTTTGCATGCTAAGCTATACCGTCGGCGGATCTCCCTTTTCCTTTCGCGCGCCATTGAGCACGTGTCGGACACGATGAGTTGGAGATTTTTGGGGGAGGGGTAATTGAGATGCACGTGCGTGGGAGTGAGGGTGGGAGGAGGAGATGCAGATGGGACGTGAAGCCGTAGGATGGAGCATATAATGGATAACGTACCCGAAATGCGGTGGTGAAGTGGATTGGAATGCGGGGGTTTTAGTTCCGAAAGCGGGAAATTGCAGACGTGAGGGGAGTTCGCACGTGGACATTGTTTTGGCGCACGTGCTTTGCTTCGGTTCCGGGGTCACGAACTCAACGGTTGTTGAGATTACCCACCCGCTCACGCCGCTGAAAGTTGAAAGCAAAAAAGGTTGCGGGGAGCCGGGCGGATTTTGGCGGGAATCACGTGGGGCCCGATCAAAGTCAAGGAGTCAACAAAACTGCAGAGGAGGCCGCAAACCTGGGCCTGTCGAGTCGATGAATGCAATTCGCCGCGAAGGCTCCCTGGGCCTTTCACCAAGGTTCACAAACAATTTTTTTTTTTTTTGTGTAAGCCATACTGTTCTAGAATTGTAGGAGATGCAAAATGGACCCAAGTTCATTTAGCAGACAGACCCAATGGAGCTGGACCATGAACTCAAGCTTAATCAACTTTTTTTTGGGTAAAGTTGATAGTATTTTCTGTGTAAGGGCAGGAGAGAAGAAAAATGAGCATGGAACGCCAGTGAAAAAAAAAAGCTTCCAAGCTTCGAATATATATATATATATATACTACCACTTGAATGGAAAACTACTTCAAATGGAGCCCAAGCAAGGGTCGAATCATTAATCACAATCCACTATAAAATGTCACGCTCAAACCTCTAGCCAAGCAGTTCATTGAAAGGGTATTGGACCAAGCAGGCGTGATTAAAAGTAAGTAAGTAGGGTCTAAATTTATTATTGTCAGCTGGAAGTAGGATCTGCCGTCAAATAAATATGCAGTGGCACTTTGTCACATACATATGAAGGATTCCAATCACAACCGCAAGATACCAAAACTAGAAGTTTTGCAAAATTGCCGTAGTTAGATTAGACCCTCAAATAAAAAACCACGCGCAAATACTCGTAGTCACCAGGAAAAATATCTGGCCGATTACTTCAACATTTAAATGAGCAGACAACAATAATAATAACATGTGAAACTCACGTGGAACAAATACGGGAGATACATCACAACTCGAGAAAATCCCTTGCCAAGGAATCTGAGAGATCTTTTTGCTTCAAAAATATCTAAAGTCGAAAGCAAAGCCAACCCAACCCAATTCTTGACCACTAAACTGTGGAGAGAATCAAATGCAAAACAAATTACAAAAATTCATAACAGCAAAGCACCTTTGCCACAGTAGCTTTCCCCTACAAGAACCATATCCTAGTCGAAGGAACTGCAAAAGATTTTATTAGCTTAAATGAACTACGACCGCCATAACCCCCCCCCCCCCCCCCCCAAACAACCAAAAAAAAAAAAAATCCTACTGCTTCCTCTAGCACAGCTTGCTAAACACGTACCTACCAGCAGACAACCAAAATAATCCTAAATTGGCGTTTTTCAATCATAATTCCTCATCTTATCTTAAAGAATAAACAAAAGTTGATCTTTATTCATGCTAACATATACACATCAACTTTGAAACTCGTCATCAAAAATTCACGAAATTACTACTAATTCAGGGCAAAAAGCAGATGTTAGGATTTGCCAGTAAGACTCCTGACTACTACGAATTACTACTATATGAACAATAATGACTATGGCAGAGAGATGAGTAGGAGACACAGAGAATCAAGAAGCCGCGGTAAGTGGATATCCGCGTGATGCTCCTCCATAGAATGTTGCTGATGAATTACCACCATCCTTTCCATATTGGCTTGATGCATCTTCTTCCTCCTCCTCCTCCTCAGCATCCCATAGAAACCGAGCATACGAAGCAAGCACATAGCTACACCACAAACCGACTTCCATTAATTTCAAAGAGATTCCAGAACAAACAAATCAAACACAGCACAAATTTCCCAAAATTTCAGCCAAAACAAGATGATGATACATGTACTTCCACTTAACTTGCTTGCATACATAGCACCAGTAAAACCTGGCGTTTGATTCTTAGCAAATTTATCTTTGGTTTTATGATTTACCTACCGAGCTTTTGACAGCAGATTAACTGAACTAACCAATACAGCAAAAGTCAAGACCAATTCTACGTCAACCAACTGCACTATTATTAAGGAAAGCCATACTAACTCTACACCAAAAAAATCAAATCAAATAATTTTTTATATACATGGTGGGCAACTCTTACCAGTCATCAGGGTCAGATTGAACAGCTTGATCAAAGTAAGTCTTGGCACGGGGTGCATCCTTTTGCGTTTGCCATATTAGGTCAGCATACAGTGAAAGAACATTTCCATCGCTTGGGTTAGCCAAAATTGCTCTTCCGCAGTACTCCTCAGCTTTATCTAACTCTCCCTTCACCTATTCAACAAATTCAATTCCACAAATAATCAGACTAAATGTACCAAGAAAACCCAAAAGAACTAGTACTAACTTTCTTTGAAATTAAAAAACATACAACAAATAAATAAAACGTTGTTCAAGAAAGGAGGAGGAAAAAGAAAAAGGCAAAAAACAAAAAAGATAGTTACCTCCTTTAGGAACTTGGCATAATTCGCAAGTAATAAAGCATTGCCCGGATTGGCTTCGATCATTTTCTGATAGTACGCGTCCGTACTATCATGCCCATGCCACCTATTCGAATCATACGAATCCGAACCAAATCCGGACCCATCTCCACCATCTGACCCGCCACCTCCTCCACCACCACCACAAACCCTCCCCCCACCTCCGCCAGCGCCACCGCCTCCCACCACCAGAGTCTGCAAAACCTTCTCCTTCTCCACCGCGGCCACACACCCGTCCTCCTCGGCGGCAGCCGCGGGCTCCCCCAAGCCCGAGCTGGACAACAGCCTCTCCAACTCTTCTTCCTTGGCCTCCTTGAGCTTCACCGGCTTTGGCGTCTTGGGGCGCTTAATGTGGATATCCTTTTCCTTCTTGGAAGCTGGCTGGTGGTCCCTGAGATCGGAGTCATGGACGGGTCGAAGTGGACTGGCGCAACCTGGGATATCATCGATGGCGAATGAGGCAGAGAGAGAGACGGATCGGGTGCGGGTGAGTTGGGGTAGATGATCGGGTTCAGGAGATGACCCGGATGAGTTTGGAAGCCATGAACTTAGGATGGGCGAGGATGAACTCCTCAGTAACATTTTTTTGTTGATCAAGTATTCCCAGAAGATGACAGAGACCTCACCTCTCGAGACTCCCCTTGGAGAGGGAGAGAGAGGCAGGAGAGCGTTTTAGCGAGGGTTTTTATACCTAGTAGTCTGCTACAGCAGCTTCACTAGTAGACGATGGAAGGCTAATGATTTTGATGGACTTGTAAGGATTGATCACTGAATTGGGGCCGTTGGATTGAATCTCGGGACAAAATGTAATTAGGGATGCGATCGAGTTTATCAATCCGAAAATTCCCCTAATCAAATTGAATTGACAAAAAAAAAAAAAAAAATTTTGAATTGAGATCGATTGGCAAATTTTGTGCAAAAAAAGAAAAATTGAACTTGAATATTTTCTGACTTAGGTTTTTCGTTCATGTATTATAGTAATTTTTTTTAAATTACCATGTCAATTAAAATTGAACTTGAAAAATTTTTCCTTTTCTCTTATTAATTGTTATTTTGTTTATCCTTCTTCCTAATAAAAATGATTGTAAATCAGTGGAGAAAATTGAACTTGAATTGAAACTCCCCGTCATCGGAGCCGTTTTGGCAATAACCAAAACTGGTGAAAATGCGGGATGGGGGCGAACTTTCAACCCATGACTGGCTCGGGCGGCTGATAAGGATGGGGCCTCCAGGAGTTTGTCTCTGATGGGGATTGTCGATGTATGGACGGTCTAAAATCGGTGGAAAGAATTGAGTCTGTAACATCAGGTTAAAGTGGTGATAAAATGTCTGCCGGAAGTGGGGTTTCCATCATCCATGTGATTGAGGCCAACGGCACGCAATGGGTTGAAAAGATTGATGTAAAAGAGCAACTTGGCTAACGCTAGCCCCAAAAAAATAAAGATATAGTAGTATATAATAGAATTGTTTCATTTCAAGTCCAAACTAGATATTTACTGCAATTTGGCTTGGATTTTTTGACCCTCCTACTCTGGCATCCACCATGGGAAAGGATTAATTGGTAAACAAATAAAAATACTATACCTCACCATTACCAGGAAAAGCAACAAGAAGGTTTTGTTGACAACTTGATTGCGGAGACCCTTTTAACACTACTACTAGTCTTTTGTCTTTATTGTAAAAAAATACGTCACGGTCATGCGCCAAGTTAATAAAAGCACAGTAGTATCTCCCAGCGTTAACCTTTCCCAGTGATTACCATGGTTGAAGGTCGCAGTCGCAGTCACGATTGCGATCACGGCCCGAATCATTCTATATCGATTTGGACATATTAATCACGATTTTCAATGAGATATAAATTTTTAAAATATTTAATATTTTAAAATTATAAAAAAAAATATGATAATTAAAAAATTCATAAAAATAATACAAATTCAAGTTGACTCGGAGTGATTCGATCGTTTTAACTTTTCACGGTGACGTCTTGACAAGTCAAATATCTCGAAATCGTATCATTCAAATATCGTATCGGGAGGGCTCGAGACGGTAATGACTCAGCCGAGTTCGAGAAATCGAACTAACAGGTCAAAGACCGAGAAATCGGCTCAATCTTTGAACCATGGTGATTACAGGTCATTTCTCTGTTCTTGACTTTTCTTTATAAGTAGCACTTCACTAGACGTACAGGTTCGGGTTTTAAGGAATGAAGGCATGGCCGACCCCAGAAATCGAACTAACCGGGAAGTACATTAATTTTCACTGTGGTATTACCAAACTCACAACCTGAAATGTGCGCCAGAACGAGAGATAATTCGATTCTGGCGTCGCTTACTTTCTGGGGATAATATATTTTATTGCGAAATTGGCCTAGATTTTTCCAGGCTGACAGAGACCGGCGAACAGTGCTGGCCCTCATGAGTCATGCCATGCTATCCCGTTTATACCTTCTAATAAAAAGCTTTGCGGTCTACCGAAAAGAGGTTCAGCTGTCGTATGGGTATGCCAGATTTTTGTAGTAATAGTAAAATGCAGGAGGGAATGAATGATCAGATGCGAAGCTTCTGAGTTGAATTTTATAAGAAACCGAAAAGGGGAAAAATTAACGAACTAACCCATAATAAAATAAAACGACGCTCATTCATGACTGCCCAGCCAATAACTTTTAAGAAGGCGATTCATCGATTACCGATTATTGGTACCCAATGGGAGCCTGCGTTAACCTAAAACACTCCCGAAGTAGCAGCAGATGGCAGCATTTGAACAACCGTCGCATATAAAAATTGCCTAAACGATACGGTACACAAGAGCTGTAATCCCTCAATAGGGAGTCGGTGTCATCAAGGGGCCCACTACCACTTTTTGGAATATATGACATATCACCAGCTTCTGTCTTCCATAATTAATCATGTCGGAGAACAGTTCCTAGTCATTATTATTAATCTGAAAGAGCATCAATCCAATTGATAGCTTCTTTTACTTTCGTTTCATTCGCGACCGCGCATGCTCCTCTGCTTCTCGTTTCTTCCCCTTCTTTTCGCAGGTGAACATCCAAAGCAAGGGGGAGAAGAGAAGTGATAGGATTTTTGAGGAAGCGGCGACGGAGGATTTAGCACTATGAGAGAGCGTTTAGGAGGATACAAGTTTATGTCCCACCATTTTGACTGACTGATGTATGCTTTTTCAAAAGTTGATCGAGGATTCATTCAGGTCGTTTTTGTCCAGCTACTGCAAAGAGGAAGATGAAAACACGGCACGTAAAAAGCAGGGAACCAAACCGCATTCGTACGAGCAACAAAAATTTTCTTTCCCTTCCTCGTATATGTTGCTGCTAACATAACCACCTCAAGCAACAATATCTGCAGTAGAGGAGAACGCATGCTTAACCAATCATATTTCAAACTAAGACATCTAGTTCCATTTGAATAGAGCATCTCCCACCCCATGCAGAACGCAACAAGGTATGGTGAGGAAGTTTCTGCAACGAGGCATGTTACTGCAAGACTAAGAAGGGATGCCGAGATAACAAAAAATTACAGAGACTGCGATTCAAATGCAGCATATCAAGGGCAAAACAACTCCTATGAAAAGAAAATGAGAGCACAACGGAACACATTAGCCTTTGATAAATCAGAAAAGATCAGAAAAAACACAAGGTCAATTTATAATTACAACTGCTTTTCCTTTTCCTCACCCCCTCCGAGCAAACTCCTCACACACCTAAAAGATGAAAATGGGACCTTCCCATGCTAGATACATACACCAAACCTGCAGCATCCCCTAGGAACATATTATCGCCAAAGGACATTTACTTCACATACCCTATCTGCTAGAAATTGATTCAAATGCACAGTAGTTTCTTTGTGAAGTAGGTTTCTTAATAGTCATAAAGTACTTTTTACCATGAAAGCTCAATCAAGTCCGCAATCAGATTACATAAACACGTCAAAAATCCACAAATAGAAAACTTAAAAGAGTTTAACAGACATTCAACGAAATTAAGGATCAAACTATTTGGAGAGAAGGGGAGAGAAAAATGAGAGTACCCGAGTGTATGATTCTTCATGGTAGTCTTGCAGATAACCAGATTCTGATCATACCACAGTCAAAATTTGAAGCATGAAATCACCAGAACTTGCATTGGTTCAGGGTAGAACAGCTGAGATAAACAATGGATTAAGTGTATAAGGTAGACAGCCCATTACTTATTGGAGAGACATTTCACCAAAAGGAGAAATAAAAATAAGGAACTAAATATTCATATATAATGATGAGAGTTACAAGGTGGTGGTTCAAAGGAAAACGCATTTCCCAGGATTTTGTCTCTCCTCATTAAATATGTACGGTGACGTCCTACCTCCTAAGACAAAGTATTTAGATAGGAAATTAGATTCTCATAACACAGAAACCATCCTCAGCAACAATTTAATAGAGAAAAAAATCTCTCTGCCGCTCCATCTCTTTTCCTCTTTGAGTCAACAAATATTCAGAGGATGCAGTTCACTTGTGTCATGTATGCAAGAAATGGCAGGGTTGGTAGCACTTAGTTTCCTTGATTAAGGACCTTGGTTCAAGTACTTGCAGCATGAAGGTTAGGATGGGCTATCACCCGCTGCCTCCAATGAGTTCTTATGCGTTAATTGGCAAAATAATTTCCATGCCAGCTCTTCTAGTACCTTTTTTTTCACTGAATCATAGGAACTTTTCCAGCAACAAGATAAGTTGATTACCAACCACAAAAAAGATGATGGCATCATCACAGTTCCAAATATGTAGTGAATACAGTGTAACATTCTTGGATACAAGAAGTGATCAAACCCAGTGAACAGCCTCAGAATATCATGTGAAGGCAGATATAAGAACTGAAATCACATGAATTTCATAGGGATTTTCTCATTATTTGTTGGTTTGATTACAAGATTGACCGCTTTACTTGTCCATGTTATGCTTAACTTCTATAAAATATACACGACAAACGCTTACTATCTCATCTTCTAAATCGAGATCCATTCTTTGGTCTTCCAATATTTCTCCCATCCCACACGCAAGACCAGAAGAAAAGAGACATCCAGAAGAGAACAGCAAAGAAGATCCGCACAGTATCTTTAATCCTAGAGAAACTTGAAATGAGTCCTGCGGCAGGGATAGCAAGATTAAGCAATTAAGTTTTAAATCAGACAAGTAGCATAACAGAATCATGTAGCACTAGCATATTACGTCCTTGCTTTATCCTCATGCTACATCTTGCAGATAAAGTAGACATCTGGAGTCAGGCTAATGAGATGATATACGATAAAGATAAAAATGAATGGGGCAAAAAGGTTCAAGCAACTGAATTCAAGGTTGCAATGGTTTGTTAACAAGGACTCATCAACTCCACTTAGATTTAAAAATATTTTTTACTAAGTAAAACTGCACCTGGATAAGCCTGAAGCATAAATACAGTAAAACTTTCCTAAGATAAGCCAAAACAGAAAAAATAGCCAGTCAATATCGAAATCAATAGCCTCCAGTACCACCATAATCTCATCCATCCACGCATTTCATAAATCACTTAGGCTGTGTTTAGTTCTCTATAAGAAGTAAAATAGGATTGGAAATTTTGAATTGGAATTATATCATAAGGAATGAGTACAGTTACTTAAACTGCTAACAGGAGAAACAAAAAGTTATTTTTATCCATGGTGCAGTCCATGTAAAACGATTAGTGCAGTTTTCTTACTTGGCAATGTAAAATGGCTTTTTGAACGGTCTAATCTTCATTCTTCCACAATAGTTTGTGAGAGAAAATTTCCATTAGCAAAACATACATAAGGGAGTACAAATAGTTAAATTTCCATAACGAGAAAGCAACTTTCTTTCATTCATTCAATTTAATACATTTCTTGATTGATGACAACAAAGTTTTGCAATTTGGCATTGAAACACAATTTCTTGACTTTACGCTTTCATATATTAAGTTCATAATTTCCACTTTGATCCGATGCATTAATTAAATAAACAATTGCAAGTTGACATTTATGAAGTAAAAAATTGTCAGAACCATTGCAGTGACTATTTTAGCGTGATTGATTGGTGATGAAAAAAGATTTCAATTTGATGTAACTACATGTGTACGTGAATCCAATTATCTTCTGAAGGAGAACCCAAAATGGTTGTCTCATTCGATAATTAATTAACTTTTTACTGATGGAGCAACCAGCAGAGCGGCCACAAAATTGTGAAAGCAATCAAAACTAGTAATTAATTCAATACATGCAGACTTGCGTAGCTGTAAATTCCCTACAATTTCACATTCAAGAAAAGGATGGACACTTAAAAATCAAAAAGCCCTTTCTCTTTTGCCTAGCCATAACTCCACAAGAGCCTCACCATCTTCTGAATCCATTTCTTCATGCTGTTTCTAAACATCTGTTTCTTAAACAGCTTAATACTGGCCAAAATATAATATATAAGCTCAATCAAGGCAAAGCCCAGTTCAACAAAATCCCTTTCTTTCCAAGTATCGAACTCATAACCTAGTTGAGCTAGTTAAGTACGTTAAAAGAGAAAGCCACAAATATATGCAGAAATTCAGGGAATCTCAATAACAGAAGAATCGAATGAGCTGGGTAATACTAGCTAATAGCTCAGTAATTACCTGAGGAAGGAGGTGGATTATCTCCAGGAGGCGGGTCCAACTGCGGGGGTGATGGTGGGCCAGGGCTGGTGGCACGGCAGTGGGTAGACCATTTTCTGGGATGGGAGGATGACAATAGACACGAGCGGTGAAGATGAGGGATATAAGTGGTAGTGAATTGAGTACGACTACAGAAGGATGCTAAACAATTGAAGAAAGTAGGAGAAAAGGTGGTGGAATTGGGCCATACCAGGAGGCGGTGGTTGTGGTTGTGGTTGTGGTTGTGGTGGAGGTGCAAGCTCGTGGGAGGAAAACGGGAGCCCATGGTGGTTGTTTAGGGAAGTTCCAAGGGTTTCTCTGAATTAGCAAGTTAGTAGTAATTAACCGGTAAGACGGACACCCTTTTTTTTTTTTTTAAATACAGTTTTCATTTCATTAGTCCAAGCCAAACCGCCAGTCATTTGCGGTTTAAAATTAATTTTATTTCTGCAAGCTCATATTCTCCCTTTTTCCTTTTTCCCTTTCCTGTGTCTATGAAGCCTCCATTATTCAACCCTTGTGACGTAGACAAAATAAAGGCCACTTCCTTTTTGGAATATACTACTGGATGTAAAATAATTTTGAATAGGATGTTATTTGAAATAACACCACCGTAACACAGGAAAAAAAAAATAATGTGACGTATACGAGATAAAGTAGTAATTGAGAATTTTAACGTATTATGATATAAGCGAAATAATATTTTAAACAAATTAAATATTCAAACACAACATATTTTTTCGTGAAAAATAACAAATCTAAGCAAAATTAACCTTTGGATGGAGACCGGCAAAATTGGTCTCGGAAATCAAATGTAACCAGGTACAGAATATCTGTCTTTTTGTGTTGTTTTTGGTCCCTAAAATTTTTTTTTATGGCCGTTCAAAAATAAGTAGTGCATCTTAAAACTATACATTTGCAATTTTGCAGAGCACACAACTTGGATTCATTGGCTAAGATTTTTGGGAAAATTTTGGGTACATCTGTATCCAGCATCACCACCTGGCGACTATTTAGATGTTCAACTCATTAATACGACATCAACTTATGTCATGTGTCATAACGGTGACATAGATATAGACATATACTTCAATAGTTACAAGATTTAAGAGTAGCATATTCTTGGATGAAGCCCATCCAAGAAAGTGACCTCCCGGGTGCGGACTAATTGCGAGTCCTCAGCGTCACAATTAATGGTCAGGAGAAGGATTGGATTAGATAGCAAGATAGGAAGAATTTTAAATAGGAAATTTTGATATTAAAATCTTCCCCTTACCAAAAAAAAATGTGAGATTGATGTACTTATGGGATTCAGTATTTGGTTATGTAAGAATAGAACGTCGATTTCCACTTAATTAAGGTACTCGTTATGTAACTCAAGGATCGAGGATAAATTTGTTGAAAATAATAGGGATATTTCAAAAGACTTTACCCCATATTGAAAAACTCGTCATTTATAATGTTTACGCTTTTATTGGACTTGTGTTAAATTGATAACTAGTGTGGGCTCGTGTGTATGAGAAAGAAGTTGAGTTGGACTGTTTCAGTACAAACTGGCGGATTTGCCCCCCTACATGTGGGTTAAATGCGGCCCAAGTTGATTTTACTGCGAGCAAAAATAAATTTTACTTTTACATTTTACAAATCAAATCCTTATCTCATCGGTTACGAATTCAGGGCACGTTCACAACATATTTTCTATTAATACGTATTAATGTTATTGTCTATTACGTGAAAAATTAGGCATGGTTTTTTTTTATGTTATCCTACCTCCAACGTGCACTTTCTGATGCCTATGAATAGCAGCTTTTCTCACTTCAGAAAACATATCAACAGCTGACAGTAGAGACCTTCCTGCCAGCTTTTTTGTTCTTTGCTAGATTTAACCGACACTTGCTAAAGTTCTGATCCTTCTTGTTATAAACAAGAAGAAGGCTTGTTTAATCCTGGAGAAACATTTCAACCTCACGAAATAATTTCTTAGGACAGTGTTATTAAGCACGACTCAAACTACATTTTGTTAGTTTAGTTAACGTTGTTTTTTACTATTTCTGTCTGCAAAACTTGATTCAAAGGCAGTAATTGAAGGTGTTCGAACTGGAGGAGAGGACTCAAGCCCTCAAGCCCGCAGAGCAGAGTAAATTTCCACAAAGTGCTACTTTCTGAAAAATAGTTCCCAAAAGAGTGAAAGATTTTTTTTTTTTTTTTTTAAACGCATTTAGTGAATGCATTTTGAATACGATATTTAAGAAATTATGCATACAAAAAATAATAAGTTGCATTCAGCTGAATACGTTTTTCACCTCTTTAAAAATATATATATACATGAAAAATATCACCCGTTGAAAATTTTGAAAAAAAAAAAAAAAAAAAAAGTAGCACTCTTCAGAGAGTTTACTGCAGCAGAGCATGCTGGACACTTCAGCGTTAAGTTTTGACGTTTGATCTTTTGCTTCAGTTAGAATCAGTTCTGTCGCCATTCACCAAATGAACGGTGGTGTCTTCTTGCTGCTGCTGGGAATATAATACAGTGAACTTTTCTTGACTTTGTCCACTCCTCTGATCCCTGTTTCCTAAGCTAGTAGTCCTGTTTTCTGTCGATAGTCAAAGATATCCGCTACTCCATGTTCATTTCCTATATGATATTCTATTTATTTTTATTTGGTTGGACCCTATTTCATCACGTCCAATCCACTTGGTGTTCATATATTTGAATATAGATGCTAATATTCCGAAGCTTTTCTGCGCACGATTGCTTCTCCAAGTACTCCAGGGCAGATGCAGAACCGAAGAGTTAACTTGCTACAGATTTGACAGATTTTGGGGGAGGCAAAAAATTTTCAGAACCTAATTGAAAACTTTCAGCCTTACAATAGGGAAGTTCAGAATTTCTGGCTGACAAAATTCTTGTGCTAAGGTAGATCATTTTGCAATAGCTCCTGGAAGATCAGTATCCAAATAAGCTGGCCTCTAAAGTTTTCAAAACTAGTAGAAAAAGGAAGAAAATCAAAAAAAAAAAGATGCTGGCTACGAGGACAGGAACCAGTGATCGGAGCCTCAATTATTGATTTCCTCTACGGTGAAATATGTACTATCTTTTAATGATTCAGTAAAACTTTCAGTATACTACTATTGTACGGGAATTAGTGTACATTCAAAAATAATTGCAGTACATAACAAGATCTTAACCCATTAAGGACTAATTTGTTTAAGCACATGATAGTCTAACTTTCACAATTTAAACTTCAAGAAAACGGCTAGCTAACTACTTAGCATATATCCAGACTATAATTTCCATGTTTTAGTCATTTTCTTTAGATTTAACGTGTTAAGGCCATGCTTGGATTGTTTGTTTCCGTCAAAAAATATTGTCGTTTTCCGTGATCACATTTCCCTATCATCTTTTTTCCTCACATATATCAAATCGCTACAGTAATTTTTCCATGAAAAATGACGGAAAACGCAATCCAAACACAAATTTTTTGCAGGAAACAAGACCAATTAAGGTGAAAAGATCAATAGTTTTGGCACTCACTAAAAATCTTTTCAACCTTTATGCAAATTTGTCTTCTATGCACTATGCATGCATGCCATGGAAATAGTACAATAAATTGTCCCTTTGCTTGATTTCTCTGTGTGATCATTTTCTTCTGGTTGCATAGACATGACCTCTCCATGTAACTGTTGTGTTTGGTTGTACTTGTGATATTCTGCCGATCTTCATTTAGATTTTGATATTTCTCAACAAAAACAAACTGTTTAGTCTCAGAGAGATGTCCTTTCATAACCCAAAAAAAAAAATTGCTGTACCCGATGAATTCGATTCTTCCCCAAGAACAAATAAGAACAGGAAGCAAACAAAAAGAAGATTATAACCAAAAAGACAAGTCCTAAACTCCTAAAAATGCATGTATAGAATTAGTCAGGAGAGCATAATAATTACTAAATTACTTAAACCCGTTAAATAGGTACATAATGCTCACAACAGTGCAACATTAGAAGCTTGCTTAATTTTATAAGTACACCATATTAATGAGGAAATAACCTGGTATTTTCAACTATATATATTATCAGTAAATACTAGCTAGCTAATACTTACTATTAAAGCTTTCTTTAACTTTCCGGCCAGAGGCTGGTGACGATCATCAAGGTTGAAAGAGCTTATCTCCACATCTGCATTTCCATGAAAGAAGATAATAGCTATCATCTTCTCTATGAGCTAGTTTCCTTGAACCCTCATCTTGGTGGGGTGGAATAACTAAAGTAGCCTTACAAGGTTGACAACTCATGCATTTGTTCACACAACCTGGTGGCCTTGATCCTAGCACCATTTTCCTTCCCTGGAGTGCATTCTGATCACTATTGGTGTTTGAGGGCATCATTCCCACTGCCAGTGAGCCTGAAACTCGAAAAGATCACGGAAAAAAAAAAATGTTAAGTTTCCAAGTTGAAACCTTCTATATGCAATCGTGCAAGGGTCTTAAATGCTGTGACTTACAATTAAAGAGGGAGGGGGGGGGGGTTTGGGGTGGGAACATATGCCCTAACTGAAGAAGAGCCTACAACTATGAACATCAAGCTTGAATTACCAACAAAATATTCTGGAGTAGAAATGTTTTCTCCAGCTGATTCTTGATTTAATAGGACAAGGGTGATTGAAAAAAATTCTTGAAAATGGACGCAGTTGCAAGAGAAAATTCTTGAAAATTCATGCACCGAAAGAAGGTGGGCTAATTTTTACCTGACCGGGAAGGTAGGCATATGAGGGAGGATATGAGGATAGCTGAGACTGAAACTTTTAGTCTAACTTGGAAACCCCTTGATAGAGTCATGATCACTGTTGAGACGACAGGCAAGAGGAAAGAATTAATGGTTATAGAAGTCTTCATAGTTCCACAGAAATAAGAATGTCAAGAAGAAGATATGCAGCAATAGAGATCTAAGAAAGGACTTTTATGAGCATTGGGAAAGGGAGATGCGGTGAGAAAACTGAAAAGATGGATATCGTAACACAGTGGTAAGCCCTGTTACCACATCCACAGACACGAGTCCCAGGTTAAAGGGATATTTAATTAGATTACAGTGTCCCGGATTCTTTTAATTTTTTTGGGAAAATGTTGTAATGACTTTTTCTATCTGTAGAAGTTGCAAACTCCCGCCGGAGCATCTAACGATCTTCCACATGAATTTATTAGTAGTAACCACATAAATAGCCTACGCAAATTCCCACGATACTCCAAGAACATAACAAATAATAATACTCCCTCCGTCCCACTTTGATAGTCCTGTTTTCCTTTTTCATCTGTCCCAAATTGTAGTCCACTTTTCAATTAAAGAATGTAGTTGTATTTTAATTTTTCTAAAATATCCTTATTCAATGTAAATTGTTGTTACTATAAATCTACTATATTTAATGAGAGTTGACTCTTTTTTTACCATCAATTCAAGTTTCCATAAAGTTGTACTCTATTTAATGTGAGGATATTTTAGGAAATTAACAATCTAAATTTACTTTTCCAACAAAGTTAGCTACTTTTTTTTAAACTGTGTGAAAAAAGAACAGGACTATCAAAGTGAGACGGAGGAAGTATATAATTGACAAATGACCAGCCACCTTCAGTTTCCTCTGCTAAGTACTAGGTACAAGCCTGTAATTGTTCTCTTTACATCTTAAAATAATTATTGTTACCACTTTTGCTACAAAGAGTAGGAGGGACAGGGTGTCAACTCCTTTCTGCCTGCTCCTTTCTAGTACTGGTCATCTGAATCCTTTAGTAGCTTGTTTATTAATGATTTGATAATTAAGATAATGATGCAGTCCACAAACATATGCGGAGTTTATGCTAGATTTTGGTACATATATGGCGGGTTAATTGCTCTTGTTCCGCAAAGATCACAGAAGAAAGAGATGTTTCACTAAATAGTGGGACTCTCATTGGTCACATATACACCTCACTATTGTTTACTATCTCAATCAAGTAATTTGGATACTACAAAAAATCATGCATCAAAAACTTTTTCCCCTTTTTTTTTGGGGGGTAGAAAGGGACTAAAATATTATTAACAAATAAAAAATAATGGGCACATAGCCAGTTAGCACCTAGACTATAAGATAAGAGACTGTATTGGTATATTATACTCCCTCCGTCCCACTTTGATAGTCCCATTTCTTTTTTCACACAGTTTAAGAAAAAGTAGTTAACTTTGTTAGAAAAGTAAATTTAGATTGCTATTTTCCTAAAATACCCTCACATTAAATAGAGTACAACTTTATGGGAACTTGAATTGATGGTAAAAAAAGAATCAATTCTCATTAAATGGGGTAGGTTTATAGTAACAACAACTTACATTGAATAAGGGCATTTTAGGAAAATTAAAATATAATTACATTTTTTAATTGAAAAGTGGACTATAATTTGGGACAGATAAAAAAGGAAAACGAAACTATCAAAGTGGAACGGAGTGAGTACCTGTAGAATATGTGAGAAGGGTATAAGCATTCAATGCCTATGCCCTGTCATGTTGGGATTCAAAGCCTAATTTTTAGCGGGTTAGCCAAGCCAGTGAAAACCATTCCTAGTTTCAAAGTGGTTGGAATCACGGTCAAAAGTAAAACAGAGCGACTATCTACCAAGTGACGGTAAAAACTATCCAGAACAACTAGTTTCACGTGCCATTATTCTCTTCTGAATCCATCTTCGATGAGCTATTCACTTACTTGTCTAGTGAAACAAGGCTAAGGATTTCAATTAAAAATTATATCTATAAATTCCACTGAAAAAGGATGAGAGTTAAGAAGCGAAAGAAACAAAACTAACGATTAATTATATTCATCCTATCATTCACATAATTAATTCAAGTGCTGTTAACCTACCTTCCGCCTTGTTCCTATTTTGGTTGTTATTTTTAAGAGTTTTTGTAAAAAAAAAAAATTATAACAATTCGATATATATAAATTAAAAAAGTAATTAAAAATACATTTATGAAAAAAGTAAACATTTTTCTGCGAAAAAAACTTATCTAAACAACGTGTAGTTACTCACAATGCGTGGAAAATGGGCGAGAAGAACTAGTACAACCTATAACAGTTGAGGTTGACGTCGGAGATTTTTTTTCCTTGTGGGTAGGGGTGGGCATGGGTCGGGTACCCGCCCCATTCACCATTTAGCTGACCCGATCCGCACATTGCGGGTCAACCATTTTTTGACCCTTACCCGCCCCGCATATCAGCGGGTACCCTATAATCGGGTATCCGTTGAGATAGGGTCGGGTCAACGGGTACCCGTCCCGCCCCGCCCCATTTATTATTTAATTTTTTTAAAAATAATTTGTACCAATTTAATTTTATATTTTACACATTCATCTAAGATTTAAGAAATTTTTTTTTCTAAGAAAAGGTTTCCCACCAAGAAACAAGCATGTGAAGAAAATATAAGATAAAGGAAAAAAATTAAAAGAATTCGAAATCAATAAAAGTTTGAAATTAAGTAGCACATTTTTTAATATATATGTTCCACATTAATTAAACTTTTTTCTATAAAATATAAGATCATGGCCTCTACAAATGAATCTTATAAATAAACTATAGTCTCTTATATTTGTAATACAATTTATTCAATAAAATTACTTATTTAGTTCTTATTATTTTATAGTGTGTGTATAAAAATAAAAATAAAATAACAAATATATATGCGGGGCGGATCGGGTACCCGCGGGTTTTTAATTATGTGATCCTAACCCGCCCCGCATCTTAGCGGGTACCCGACCCTCTTTTGACCCGATCAAATAATAAAAATCGGATATCCTAATTTTCGGATTGGATCGGATCGGATATGACGGGTTTTCGGGTTAGCGGATAATTTTGCCCACCCCTACTTGTGGGTTCGACTGACAGGGCACTCGTTAATTTTTTTTGAAGGATCAAAACGGTTAATTTAATCTAAGGATAATTCCAGAAACCTTCCCTAAGATTTCTAACAATTTCACTGAGTTCTTCTAAGATTTAAAAGAATTATACTTACCTCCCTTAATTTGATAGTTTTAATAACAAAACCTTAAAATAAGATTGACTTGGACAATTTTTTAAATGAATACCCAAAAATGCCCATTTTGGAATGAGTTTTAATTTATTTTCTTATATAATTATAAGATTATTTATATAATTATAAGAAAAATGTGCCAAATTTTTCATGTTTATATCTACTATTTGATAAATAACTATAATAATAATTTGATTACTATGATATGATATTTTATTATGAATTTAGATTTATAAGATAAAAAAAATGTTGAAATAATTCATTTAGAGTTTATAAATTTTAGGGGTAGTGGAATTATCATAATTTAGTAGTGCTTTTGAGCCATTTCTTTTTTATTTGTTATTAATTTTAATACCAAAAAATAGAAAACAAAGATCAGCAAAAACATTGAATTACATATAAAATTAATTCGTTTAAAAAATCACTAGTTCGACATTTGGTTTAATAGAAACTTAGAGGCAATGGTGGCTGTTCTACAGTTTTATTGGCGAAAAATTTTAAAAAAGGAATAAGAAGGAAAAATAATGAAAAATAATTTTAAAACTCATTCTAAGTATTAGCATACCAAATAAGAAAATTTCATTAAAATATTTAAGGGCAAAATTATCATTTTAAATGATAAGGAAAGTATGTATAATTTTTAAAATTTTAGAAGAGTTCAGTGAAATTGTCAAAAACCTCAGGAGGTTTATGAAATTATCCCTTTAATCTAGGATCATGTACTCTGACAAAAAATGTCATGATGAGACTTCAATGTTATTTCTTGTCCAACAGAACTGAGATTTAGGGGTGCAAAAATTCTCATCTAATTGTGGGTGTGGTAAGATGGAAGAAGTTGCCAGGAAAATTTTTCATTTAAAAAAAAAAAAAAAGTATGGAGGTAACTATAGTTGAAAAGTTCTCATCATCAAGACTCATGCCCTTGTAATAATACTAGTAACTATGAACAATTAAGCTTATCGTTTTAAAAAAATATTAACTATGAATAATTAGCTAATTAATCCTCAAATAAAAGCGTCATGCTTTTTATTTTGTAATGTTTCAATATATTTTTCATATTAAAAAAAGTCAAAAACTATATTCCATTTCTCTTTCCAATATCATTTCTTCCTTTAATGACATGCATGTTGCAGTCAAATTCAAATTGGGAGTAAGATAAGAATGACAAACAAAAAAATCATTATTCTTAAAAAATTTAGAATTTGTTTGGATTGACTTTTTTAAAAAAATTAATTACACCATAAACATGTTTTCAAATCACTTTTTTATGCTCTTAATACACTTTTTTACCAAAAAAAAATGCTGCAGTATTGTTCTAAAAAAAATTTCTAATAATCTTCATTCCAAATATTCACTTAAATTCCCACAATAAAAAAAAGGAATGGAGGGAGTAATACTCTATCTGGTAACAGAGAATCACAGTCAAAAGCAAAAGTGCCCGTTCACTCAAACAGTCGTCCACCGCTCAGGCATTCTTGCTTCTGTACGTGGATCCGATGAAAACCCTGCTGCAAAAAAAGGAAGGATGCACAATTGATTGAACACAACGTATAATACCAGAATGCACCATAAGCACATTAATATTTTCGGCACACCAGCCTGTGGCGAACTACTTTTGGAAAGAGGAGAGTACTGTCAAGTTTCAAGACCAGTGCCCAACAAAAAGGATTCCATTTTATCAATGCCTCTGAAATAACTAAGCACTACTGGTACGTTAATGTCGCGCTTGATTAGACCCCGCCTTTCACGAATACATAAACTAATTACTGTTCATGTCCTGCTTAAAACGTCATACACCTGAGGCTTTCTAGCTCTCCGCTTTTCCGTTTCGGGTGACACAAGGCTTTTTACCAGCTCAAAATCTCTGAGGCTTTCTATCTATTTTAATTTCAATACCAGCCACTGACACTGGTCAACTCGCAGGTTGAAGTACCTTTTTTTTTTTGGTTCAAGGAACACGGGGAAGGAGATAAGAGAATGTTGAGAGTTGAACAAAAGCAAAGCGAAAGAAGAAGATTTGAAAGTCACGACCAAAGTTATACTACCTCATTGGAATATTTTTACCAGTTGAATTGGACCTTGAAACTTGACGTCATAGGCATATATCTAAGGGCCTGTTTGGAATCTGAGTTTTTTGAAAATTTGTCTAAAACTTTACTGTAGTACACTGTAGAAGTTTTTGAAAAAATTTGTGTAGAAATTTTTGTAGGATGAAAATTTTTTTTGTGGAAGTTTTTGTAATGTAAAAAATTTTGTAGAAGTTTTTAAGGAGAAAAACTTTTTTTTTCTTTTCTTTTTTTTTCTTTTTCTCTCTCTCTTTTCTTTTTCTTTTTCTTTCTTTTCTTTTTCTTTTCTTTTCTTTCTTTTTCTTTTTCTTCTTCTTCCTTCCCTCTCCCCTTTCCCCGTTACCAGCCCCCCTCCCAGCAGCAACGCAGCACCCCCTACCCCTCCCCCTCCCTCTGCCGTCACCCTTCCTCTCCCCTTCCCCTTCCTTCCCCTGCCATTCCTCTTCTCCCTCCCCCGCCACCCCCCTCTACCCGCCACCCCTTTTCCTCCCCTCTCCCCGCCACCAATATTCCTCCCCTCTCCCCCGCCATCCGACACCCCTTTTCCTCTCCCGTCTCCTCTGCCCGTCACCCCTTCCCCTCCCCTCCCCTCTCCCCCGCTGCCCCTCTTCTCCCTCTGCCCCGCTAATCCCCTCTGCCCGCCACCCCTTTTTCTCCTCCCCTCACCCATCCCCGTCACCCTCAGCAGCCCCGTCGCCCTCCCTTAGCTGCGATCTCGCGACCAGATCGCAGCCCCCCTCTCCTCCACTTTTGCGATCTGGTCACGGGACCAGATCTTGTCGCGGGAGGGGGAGGGTTGCGGGGGAGGAAAAAAAAAAGAGGAAGGCAGTCAAACTGGATAAAGGGGGAGGATGGCAGGGAGAGGGAGAAAGAAAAAAAAAAAAAAGGAAATGGCGCCGGAGGTGGTGGTGGTCGGCGATGGAGGTGGTGGACGGGTTGGGATAGTGGAGGAAGAAGAAAGCCAAAGGGAAGGGAATTTTTTTTATGTGTGTTTTGTGTATTGGGTTGGGATGGTGGAGGAATTTGTGTGTGTTTTGTGTATTTTGAAGTGTGTAGGTAAAAAATTTTAAGAAGTTTTTTGAGATTCCTGTAGCAAAAGTTGTTAAAAAACTTGTAGGTAAAAAACTTGCCCAAAAAACTAGCTTCCAAACAGGCCCTAAGTTGCAGTCCTACAAAATGAGTTAAATCTCAGTGTGTGTATGTATATATTATTTTTTATTTTTATATACGTCCACAAAATATTATTTTTAGAGCAAAGTAAATAATTTTATTGAATAAATTACTCTCCAAGTATGGGTGCCTATAACTTATTTACAATATTTATTTGTAGAGGTCACAGTCTTATCTTTTTTAGAAAAAAATTTAATTTATGTATAATATGTATAAAAAAAGGACAATGCTTATAGCAATTTTCATCATGTTTGAATTCTTTTATTTTTTTTCTCTCTTGTATTCAGGAGTACTTAACCCATTCGAAACGGCCAAATGCCGATTGATATACGAGATGATTAAAAATCGAAAAATAGTTGATCTATAAGATACGAGTGGGATCAACTAAACTAAAAGCTTTACGAAATGAAACGAAGCTCGACTCGTGCCCATCTCTACTTGATCATTGAACAATATATAATTCTCGCATCCGCAATAAGACTCGAACACACAGCTGGCTCGTAGGCTCTTAACTACCGAGTTGTCTGTAGGATTTGGACTTCGACTGACCTGTAAAAAAATTGTGCGCGACGAATAGTAATGTACATCAAAACAAATGAAACTTGCATGTAGCGTACATGTAGATAAAACTAGTATAAAAGAGCCTCCCTTGAACAATCCTCGAGTCTCAGCCAACCACCAAAACTTTAAAGTCTCGGTGAAGATTTTAAAGACCCTTGTCTCCCACTATAAAATTATCACTTAATTGTAATTATCACTTCAAGTAACCTTCTCCGATAACATTCCCCATTGGTTCTCCTCTTTTTAAATTAGATTAGAATAAATTATACAAATATTATTTATCATTGCAAATAAAAAAATAACCCTCAAGTCTTGAGTACGAGCAATTGACCAATGAACAACAGCAAGTATAATGGGCCAACCCACAAGACCATGAATCAAAGCCCACGATTTTGGAGGCAAGCAAGGCAGAGCATGAAAACAAACAATTAAAACGAAGGTGACAAGTTTGCAGAGCCGTTTCTATGATCTCTGGGGTATATGTTGATGGAAAAAAACCTCTGCAGGGTAAATACTAAATTTCTTTCCTGAATACCAAAACAAGGTCATTTTATTACTCACATATAAATTTACAGAGAGACTCGAAACCTCTTCAAGTTCATAAAGGAAAGTGGCAGCAGAAATTATTTCTCAAGAGTCAACACTCAAACAAACAAACCAACCAACCTCAAGTTTTTGAGAAGCAAGCAAAAATAATACTAATAATATAGTAGTAGTATATCTTTCTCCCTCGCCCAATCCGTTGAACTCAAAACACCTAATCTCAGTGCACTGAGATTTCTTTTACGTCTTTCTTAGGCCTCTCAGTCCTCGGAATGATAACCGTAAGAACCCCATCTTTCATCTCTGCTCTAATTTCATCAACTTTTGCATCATCAGGCAGTAAAACACTGGTATTATAGTAACCATAGAAGCTTGCCCAGTGATCATCATCATCATCATCAGTCCCTTCTTCCTCTTCCTTGCGCTCTCCCTTTATTGTCAGAACTCCATCATCAACAGTCACCTTTACATCCTCCTTGGCAAGCCCCGGCACTGGAAGCCGCAGCTTGTACAAATCGTCTTGCTCTTTAAATTTGCCCAGAAGTCGTGAAGGTGATAGATTCCCAAGCAGCCTGTTGATGTTCTCTGATGCTTGCACCAGAGCATTTCCGAGTCCCGAGGGGAAGAATTCTGCATAAATAAGTTGTGAACATCAATCTCCACTGTTGGAAGTGCTTGTATCAATGTGTAGTCTTCAAGTCTTGTTTTATGTTTTACATCAGTTTTGCGTGCTTATTTTGGGATAATTGGTTCAAAAATCACACAAGACACGAACATGAAGTAAGAGTTATCAGATTGCTCAGTAACGAAAGACAGAGTTTACCCCAGAGAGGAGGAGGGAAGTCATCGTCCTCCTTTTTCCACAGGCTTCTACGTTGCTTCTTCTTTGGGAAAAGCTTGTTCGATTTCTCGCCACCCTCGGAAACAGCCACCTGCTGGCCAGCAGAGTCCTCCTTGCCGGCGGCTGATGATATCCTTCTAAGAAGTTCAGAACCCCATCTCTGTTTCTGGACAGAGTTTACAGTTCTTTCGGAGGCACACTGATATGATGGTAAAGAACATCTCTGTTGCAAATTTTTCAAAGCCAAACGAGCCAAAGCCATAAATTAGCTCTGATGTTTTACTAGTAGTATTTTTCTTTTAAGCTTGTAAACGACCAATTTTGCAGATTATATCCGTTTTTACCTTACGTCGCTATGTTTTGACAGCACCGAGGAGGATTTAAGAAGATGGAAGAATTTAATCGGAGCTTACTGGAATACTCATTAGATATCTCTAAGAGCTTCTAGGAGAGTGACACGTCAGACAAGTTAGATACGCTACAGAGGCCTACTCGAGAGTTCTAGCATGAGAAGTTTCTTGCAGTTTCCCTCGCATACATGACCTTGATTTTGAAAGTATGTTAATCGAGAGTTGCCCTCTTTCTACCTCCTTAGGAGTCTTTACTCTTTAGATATTATTGAGATATGTAACGCGCTTTAAACAGAAGCTCCGCAGCCCATACCTACGTGGTTTGGGCGCAATAAAAAAATTTTGACCGTCTTATTAAACCCCCATGGTCAGCAAATATGTCCCCACCGCTGGTGGAACTGCTTTCAAATCAAATGTGAGGCATGCCATGATGAAATCGAAGGATGGATGGAGCATAACAAAAATGGCTATAATATGCGCCAACCGACTTCTTCCACTACAGAGACTTGCACCAATGTGAGTTCTACATGATCAGGATCCTCATACGTACAAGAACATATTTTATATTTGCCTTGGTAAATAGGCTACCGCATACAAAATGATTACATGGTTAATTTACAACACACTTCGTAAAACACCTGAGAAGTTCGACGTCTCAACGGCAGGTCATGTTGTTCAAGACCTGCAACTTTTGCCCATTCAGTCATACATTCCTTCCTGCTCCCATACGTCCACAAGAAAATCTACCATTTCCTGTTGGTTTGAAATTAAGAGCCCAAGTCAGAGAAAATTATTTGAAACGGATGAATCACCAGCTCGTTGTAAGACTTACGGCAAGAGGAATACGCTTGGTAAACGGTTTGTTGCTTCCAAGCAAACTATCATAGGTTGCATTCCAACTGCAAAGCCAAAACTTTTTAGCGATGCAGAGACACAAAGTGCTGGGAAAAATACAAGAGAAAACTCATGAATGACCAACCTTCAGTTCAGCTAAGAGAAAGCATCAAACCAACTGTGAATATCCAGACATTGAAACCAACATTCAGGCCTCAACATCTGACTTTGATTTCAAGACAACTATTTAAAAGTTCTCCAATCAAAAGGACCCCAGTAATCCTAACCTTAAAGGATGGATAATCTATGCATCAGGGATGTCAAGCATGTTAGCAGCAATCTATGTCCTACCAGCTTCAGATTCTTGTTATGCGTCACCTTTTATAGACGATAAATGTTGAAAAATAGGCATATAATCAATCTTCAGAAAGGAAGAGAGATATCAATTTCCTTCCCCACCATGTGAAAACATATTTAAGTAATCGAGATTGAGACAACTGCAATATGTTTCACTGCTTTATTTTTCCAAAATAAACAAAATCAAAAATGCCTGCACAACAATACCTACGTATTGCCTTTTGCAAGTTAAAATCTAAGTACGACATTTCATTGCTTCGCATTTTCCTAACATAAAGGGAAAAGGCCAAAATCCATGAAAAACCATTAGCTCAAAGTGATGCACCCATTAAATGATACTGCGTAATATAGAAGGATTGTACCTTAACTTGGGCTCACGCAGCTGCTGCATCTGTTTCTCGGGCTTTCTACTGCCTATCCACTGCCGTCTAGTTTGATTCCAAAGAAGAAGACCTATAATAAGGACCTCCAAAGGTAAGACCTAAAGTAGCCTCTAGCTAGAAAACTTGCAAACTGGCAAAGAGACGATCAAACCCAAGATTTGTTTGGAAAACAATGTAAAGTCAATGCAAAAGGGGGAAAAAAATGAGGAAGAAGGAAAACAAGGATGAGGATAAGCTCTTCAAACACAATTCAAGTCCATCCAAGACATAAGTTAGTGATTATGAAAAAAGTCAAATACCACCAGACTAACAGAATTTAAAAATTCACTAAAACCATTTGTAATAGCTTGGTCACTGTTGCACAAGTAAATGAGAAAACAACATAAGATAAAATTATTTTGCAAGGAACAAAGATAAACTTTCCATGATTTACAAATTCATAGGAAGCATTTGAACTTCCAGCTCCATGAGAATTGGTCAATGAACTACTAACTGATGATACACTTCCCTGTGACTGAACAGCACTCACGTCCATGTCACAGTTGCCGTTTGTCCGGAAACTCTCAGATATGCTAGCTTTTGATATTCTTGAATGTATTTCAGCTAGAGGTTTCTGCTGTTGAAGAGAGTCATGAATTGTCAAATCTAGTTTTGGCTCAGTAGCACTTCCAAGACAACCACTGTTCTGCAAAGAATGGCATTTATCAATTCTGTAAGAATACATTTTCTTGCAATATACACCATCCAATACAGCAGCAATTTTCGTTCAAGGAAATGCAAACTTATGTATGACATTTGGAAATGCTCGACGATAACATTAAGTAGAACAGAACTTGGAAAAGCTGAGTTTCCATATATGCTCATTACTAATAAATCAGAAATAACAATATAGCATAATGCAATTGCATATGCAGAAGCAAACACAACTTTAGGATGTTCCAATTTATGTCAACATTTCCTATAAACCCATAATGCTGCATGGGAACATAGTGATCTTCATCATGGCATCTGTAGCACATTGCAACCACAAAATCTTGCAGGGTAATATTAGCAAAAAAATTCATTTATTAACCAAGAAAAAATATCACCAGGAAATGATGCACAGAGAAGCATTATGCGAAAAGGGAATGTTTAATCACTCAGTCCCACAAAACCAGTTTATATAGCTTCAGAGAAGATTAAACAATGTTTAATCACTCAGTCCCATAAAACCAGTTTATAGAGCTTCAGAGAAGATTAAACACTTGTTTTCACTGACAAAATTTAATTGAAAAAAAAATCAAAACTAGAAGAATTTTATGAAAAAAAAAGAAAAGAAAAGAAAATATCAGGAATTTATGTTACTCCTGACCAATATCCTTCTATCATACAATTTGATCGGTAAAATCTATCACATTTTCTATTTCATTGCCTTCCTGAGTTAATGATTCATAGCTCAGTTAAATAAAAGACGTACGTTTAGCATAACTATTTGACCCTTTCCACAATAAAAACATTTCCGAAACCCGGTAAAAAAAGAAATCCTTAATCATAGTATTTTAAAACAAGAGAATAAAAGAGAAGCAAAAAAAGCTAAATTATGATGAAATGAAAGGGGAAATATGAAAAATATACATATACCCCATGCATGCAACCATATGAAGAATCCAAGCCACAATTGATCCGAATCGCAGCAATTTTCCCACCATAAACATCGATTACCCAGTGATCGCCCTGCAAATCACAAGCTCCATTTTTTATCATAAAATTGCGCGCACATACCTCAAAAATAAGCAATAAATCAAAATAGTACCACAAATTAAACAAATAATTCATGAAAGGACGGACCTGTTAGAGAGATTAATTGGAAAATCTCTCAGGGCAGGGCAGTCTCGCTTTTCCCGAAATCGATCGGCTAATTATCTGACAGTACAAATGAATGATGCGACCAAGCTTGTTCTATTGCTACGCAAGGTAATGCCACTTTTTTACGCTTTATTCTTGTTCGGTAACTGGTGGGGCGTTGGGCTCGATTAAAAATCTATCGGTTCTTTTTTATTTCCTTTTTCCTTTTTTTTTCCCCCCAGTGGGTTGAATGAAAAATGGAATGGTTCTATTTTCAATTGCCTTTTTTTTTTTTTTTTGTGGTAAGGTTCTATCTTCAATTCTTTGTCCTTTCTTTTTTCCAATGTGTAAGAATCCAAGGCTATTGGACTTTCTTTGTGTAAACTTGAGATAGAGAAAATTAACATAAAAAAAAGTAAATTATGATTTGTTTAAATGCAATGAATTGAATATGATGGAACAAAAAAAATTCTGGTTATTTCGGGTGATCTTACTGTTTTTTTATAATATACTAATGTGCTCAACTTTTACTAATACTTTGTGTAATAGAATCCATGACCGTGCAAGTTGCACCCACCAGGTATTTAAGCCCCTCTGGTGGTCAATGGGCTAAAGTCCAGCGGTTTGCAGACTTGGTCATTATTCTTAAGTCTTTGTACCCAAAAAAAAAAGCCCGTTAGCCCAAAGAGTTATCGTGTCCGTGTTCGTTTCTACGTGCGCTTTCCCTCGTGGAAATATTTAGACGAGAACAGACTGGTTTTGAACTCACCAGACTTTGACCAAAACTTTTATTCCACGAAAACCCGACGCAGAGAAGATCACAAACACAAAGGCACTGCAAATAATGAGGGGATTAAGCGTATAGAGCCTAAAAGTGCTGGCATAAAGGGTATGGATTCGGATGCCGACTCATGAGTGATGAGTTCATAAAGATGTGCACGTGTTTGAGCCTTTGAGAGAGATGTTGAGAAATGTAGGACAATGTCTGATTATCTGAGTATTAATAGAGAAAAAAATTGGACGTTGGAGGGTGTAAATGAAAATAAAATTTGAACATAAAAAGAGCAACTAAAAATATCTATAGGTGAAATTGATTTATTACAAGAGATGTTATGAAACACGTACCAATCTTAGTCTTACATTCCAATCAATTCTTAACTAATCAATACGTGTACCACTGGAACTTAGGGTCTTTTTAGATGGTGAGTTTTTTAAGTATTTGTATAAAATTTTACTGTAATTTACCATAGAATTTGTGAAAAAATCTTCTTTGTAATAGAGGATTTAGAAATAATAAAATTTGTTTTATTTATCTTTTTCTTTCCTTTTTTTTCCAATTTCTTTTCTCTTTTATTCTTCTCCATCACCACCACTGCTGGTCCAACCTCACACCTTCATTGCCGATCGCCAACAGCTAACACTTTTGCGATCGTCATCAAGCCTTCAACAGTTGTTTTTTTTTTTCTCTCATTCTCTCCTCCTCCTTCCCCCCTTCACTTACAATCCCTCCTTCCTTCCCTTCCCCTTCTCTTCTTAGGAGAAAGAGGGAGCAAGGGAAGATAGGAGAGAGAGAGAGAGAGAATGAGAGGAAAAATACAAGTGATTGAGGGCGACTGGCGCCAGCATTGATGGTTGGCTGAGGTAGAGATAACGTTAGTGAAAGTATGAATGATTACGGATGATGGTGGTAGAAAAGGAATCGAGTGTGTGTCGGAGATTTTGAGATGTGTATTTTAAAATTTTGGAGTGTTTTTTGAGGTTCCTGTAGGCAAATTTATTAGAAAAACTTGTCCGTTAAAAGCAAGAAAAAAAATGAGAGTGCCAAACAAGCCGTTTATTACTTTGTCGATATACCATAATCTTGAACTACAAAACTACATTTTCACAACTATAAACTGATGCTGACTTGAATCATGAATCCATAATTATAACCCCTCCTCACTACAAATCAAACTAAACTGCTAGACACCAAACATCTTCCAAAAATGTTCAAGTTTACAACTTATGCATTCTTACCTCTATAGTTACTAAAGATCTAGTTATGGATTTTCATGGTATGATTTAATTAGAATAACATCTCTCATCTCTTTAGAGAAGATGAGTATGTTTCTTATGGTATGTTTTGCTTAGAGAAATCGTTATCTCTTTAGAGATGAGAAGATGAGTGTATATGTTTCTTTTGTCTTTCATTTTCTTTTTCTTTTTAACATTTGTTTGATTTCATATAGTTTTCCATAATCATGCTATTGGTGGGTATGTACATGTGTGCATCTTTCTTTTTCAGTTATTTATTTTAAAAATATATGTCATTTAAAACTCATCCTCTTAGGCGCACTCACACGAGCGTGCATAGATAACTAGTGATTAGCAAGTCTATAACAAATTACTGAGTGAAATTAGTCACAATACAATGATGAAATTGTTGGAATTTTGGATTAAGAAGACTAAGAAGAATTGCCTTAAAATGGTGAAAGTTGAAAAGTCGGTGGTGACAGGAGAGGGGTAAAGTTTCGCCTACAACATGCTTCATGCTTGCTGATATACAGGCACCTTTTTGGTAATATATATATATATATGTGTGTAAGTATATGCTAACCGGCAAAGCGATGACTTTTTATTTTACCAAATTTCAGGTTTATGTTGGAAGAAGAAAAAAAGAAAGAAATCTTTAAGTTCTATGCCGTCGTACCTGATGCAACAAATAAATTTGTTTGCCAGCAACCAAGCCGTTCATGAATTAGGGATGAACAATATACCTTTCTAAACTGTTTTCTTCATGTAAGAAGAAAATGGAAACTAGTTTTTGAATGGAATTTTAACTCAATTTTCTACTTACCAAAAGACAGACTTTTATTGGCTTAAAATAAAATTGGCGACGAAATATAATTTGCCCCTTTATTTTACAGCTCCAGAAAAGGGAAAAAGGCTGTAAAGCAAGTAGGAAACAACCATCGATGGCCTACCGCTAACTAAGACAAACCAAGAAGAGGAAGACCACAACTTTTTTGGATCTGAAGCAAAATCAGTACAATTGCTGGGGTAAGATCATCTTTTTACCTTGAATTCAGAATAAAATAACCAAATTTTTTAGTAAGAAAAAGACATAAATAGACAAATGATAAGAAAAGTCGTTTAGAAACAGAAGAGAAGCTGGACACCAGCTAGTAGATTGATTCTGAAGAATTTGAGATTCAATAGTCAGAATCCAGCGGTAACTTTCTAAATTCCCCAAAAAAACGAAAACACTTGAGACTTCGAAGGACTACACAAGTTTTCCATATTTACAAACTTTGAACCAACTGGGGGAAACACCAAAATTTCTTCCCCTTCCTAGACCCCTTCCAATTTTACAGTCGAAAAGATAAAATTCCCTGACCATTAATAAGAAAACTCCGTACGTTGTAACCGATCTTTAAGGATTCCACTGTACAAAGCCACCCGGTTTGCTGGCATTCCGCAAGAAACGCTCTGAATTCTTGTTGACTTCCGACCGTGCTCCCTCCTGTAGTCTTCACCGTTCCTACTTGGCTCCTTCACATCTGCTGCAAACTGGACTCTTTTCTTCTTCTTGTTTTTCTCCCCTTTCTTTCCACCTAATTTTAGACAAAACCCACAAAGGATTTTAATTCCAACCAATTTACCCCCTCTTCCCACCAACAAAAAGTAGAAAAAAAAAATAAAAGAAAAAGAAAGAGTTCAAGAAAGTTTTGTTGACCAAGAAAGATGGGAAAATTTTATACTCGTACCTGAAGACAAGCAGGGTTTCAAATTCTGCTTTTGTTGATGGGCATCTCGAGTACGGGCCAACTGGGTTGTCGATGGGAAATACTTTTCACGGCAAAGATCAAACAGGATTATGGTGCCAGCTGAAACGGCCATTGCTGTCGCCAAGACCAGGCCTTGTGAGATAGAAGACATGATTGTGGTTGAATTGAACTGAGGACAGAAGGACAAAAGCCTGGCCTAATAATGAAGGACAAGTTGACGTGAAAAGAGAAAAGAGAAATCTTTTTTTTTTCCTTTCTTTTTTGGCTTTAATAATGTGCTCAATGTTAAGCAGTAATTGGGGCTGTTGACGATTAGTTTGGGTGGGGATGTGACGAGAAGGAACACTTGTGAATTATGATAAGGTGGGGGTTGTAGTAGTAGATTTATTGGAGGAATTTAGAGTTTTGGTTTTAATAATAATGCCGGGCAACAGAATCTGGAGATTTCCGGTTTGGTTTTGGCTTTTTTGTGTTACTATGGATGAGAATTGGAATGAATGGGAAAAGTGAGGGAGTTGTTTGGCGGTTGATTTAGGAGATTCGGCTTCTAATAAAAGTGCACCGCACGGCAGTGGAAGGCTCGTTGGGGTCAATAGTTGAGTCCCAATTGGCTTTCATGCGGTGCCCACGGCCGGTGTAAAACGTACGTATTAATAATGGTCCATGAGCCGTAAATGGTACTGCTGGAAGAGAAGTATTAATATATTGGGAAAAGGAAAGGGGAAAGAAGACGGGTTTCCCTACGAAACTAGAAGACCAAAAAAGTCAAGAGACTCTCGTGATTTTTTTTTTTCCATGGCGTGGGTCTGAAGGAGTTGAGGACTTGATAGATAAAAGGATCAATCATTTGTGATCCCGCACAAAAGAAGCATCATCGTCTTAGGCTGTCTTGCGTCATTGCTGTTCAAGTTGGAATTGGCATGCCCCGCTTTAGGGCCATTAGGCCATGTGAGTTCAGAGTCGTGAATGTGCTGGTACTTGTTTTGGCCTGCTGACTAGTCCTCTAAAAGACAATTAAGTCAAGAAGAATTTTTGGGGCCTTACAAGTAAGATATGGAGTTTTTTGCTTAATTCTCGACCGATGTGGAATTTTTGGCATCCTATTAACATTGCTACATTATATTCATAATTGATTGACTTTTACCGAAGGGGCCTAATGTTAGGAAAAAAAAAAGCATTGGAAGCGGGCGAGGATATGGAGGAAATCGTATTAAAATTAATTATATCTACAATTACGCATTTATTGTGTCATTTTCTAGACAATAGTGAAGTCCTTGCTTATAAATTCTAAGACATAACCAGTATTTACAAGTCCAAAAATAGCCAACGCATCAAAAATTATACATTGAAAGTCCACAAACATTTAAGAAATCAAGTCGTACATCATGGAGCCTTATGATGTACCTTTAAAACAATTATTTTTATGAAGTCATGTTAAGGACATGAGTCAGAATAATATCCTATTTTGTAACCCAATTCAGTATTTTAATTTAATGGATTCAGATTTTAACATGTTCAGGTGTGTTTGATAACAAAAAATAGAACATTTGAATTAATTAAATGGCATAAGCAAAATTTGTTCCAAAAAATAAGTGATAAGTTATTCACTTA